CCCCAAAACCCCAAAACCCCAAAACCCCAAAACCCCACTTCATGCAAATTTTATAGTAAATTATCTTTATTAAGAATTAAATGAGCGAACAAGGAGTCAATGAAGCCAAGGAATCCTCCTTACATACTTTTAGGCATGGAAATAAGAAGGCAAGGAACAAGAGAAAGGATAAATCTGTCAACTCTATCTTTAAATCTGCCAGAAAGCAGTGTAATAATTCTCAGATTAATATGACTTATTTCCCTTCACTAAAGTTGGGAACACAATCAAATAATGGTGGAATTAGTCTTACCAATACAAGCAAGGGTATAGACCTTAATAGATATGAGCCAAGGAGTCATGCAAATAGTCCTTCAAATCTCTCCTTTACAATCGGGGAAGACTTTGGTACAATTCCCATCCTCCAGAGAGGAATTGTACAGCCAAAGAAGACTAATAGGTACAAGAGTAGTAAGTTTTTATTATAAATTCTAAGAAAAATAAATCTGACTGCCGAGATCCTCCTCTTCTGTCCCTCATGCCTGAAGGAGTAGCTCCCAAGTTAGGGGAATTAAACTACTATTCACGACTAAATAAATAAAGAGCATGAATATAAAGTACAGCTTTTGCAAAACCGCATTCAAAAGCTAAAGTAAGGAAGAGGAAAAGGCAAATATGAAAATGCTACAAACCTCAGAGCGAGCTGAGCAATACATCAAAACGAGGAATAAGTACTATGAAGATCAGAAGCGACTTATCAACCATCGCCTCCAAGTTCAACAGGACACTGTAATTCCTGCCTTATTCTTTAGGAAACTAAGAGAAAAGATATCATTAAAAATAACGATAAATAAGAAAAAGAGCATGCAACAGCTAAAGAAAATGATGATCGAGCAGTCAAAACAGAGGAAAAATCAGCAGAGACAGGAAATAAATGAAGCTCTTCAGAACAAAGAGAAAGAATTAGGTATTTTCATAATTTTATTTTAATAGAAAAGGAGCATTTAGACAGAAAGATAGCCTCTGTAGCTATGGTAAAAGAGAGCCAGATAAGTTCTCTCAAGAAAAGAATGAAGAAAAATAACAAATATAGTCTCTCTTTACAAAATAGTTACTACAAAAGGTACCTAGATGATGAAGATCAGACTGAGAGGAATAAGCAGAAGATTAAGAAACTTGAGGCTGCTGAGAGTAAACTTCTTGATAAGCTCCAATCCACAATGGAGAAGCAGATGACTATGCGCAAAACCTTAGAAAACTTAGTCAAGAGCGGTAAACCTCCAGAGAATTCGCCTGAATAAGTTCAATAATTTCGTAATTTTTTGGGGTTTTGGGGTTTTGGGGTTTTGGGGTTTTGGGG